TTAATTTATTACACTAGTATGGACAAAAATACAGCAACACCTACCATTACTTTTATGACATCCCATTCTAAATCCATAGGCAAGATTTCCCTTAACAACCCATGAAAACACCCCTACCAAATTTATTAGGACAGGGGTAGCACCTTTGCCATATAGTGTATTTGGATGGAAATCTATCTCAAAAGAAGAAGACTGATGGTCTCTCTGATTGGTCTGACACATGATCAACAATGCTTAAAGTCACTGAAAAGGTTACAAGCAGTGGGAATCATTTAATATGTAAGCTTACAATGAATGTCAACCAGGCATTCATAGTCATTCAAATTCTAGGTCACTCTCTTCTGATGAATTTAAACTTCTACGTATATTAAGTGTAGTGGTGGAGTTACCTACAGCCTGTCTCAGAACCAACATATGCCTTATTGTCTTGCTCAGATTTTTATTATTTGGTCATTTGTCCTTGCTTTTTGTGCTTCTACCATAGGTATTTAGGCTATGTAGTTAAAAGGCTTCTGTTTTATTTGCCTTAATTGTGTTTATTGAGTGTTTAATTTATTTTGTGTTACATGCCACTTGTGTCAGGGATACTATAATTTAACAGTGGTGAGAACTTCTCTCAGGCTTACCAATTTGTAAATATGCTATACAAACTGGCATACATTTCTTTTAAGCGTATTGTTGAAACCCAAAATGTAGAGTGGCCATTATAGTGCAGTATACAGTAAATTGAGGGTCAAAGTTAAGAGAGAAGAGAGCAAGAAACTTTCAGTTTATGAGCGTGTGTCTTCAGGAGCATGTGCACCATACACAAATGAGTTCTTACTGCAGTGGCCCAGTTCTAATCAAACCTGTGGCTTATTAGCATGCATCTCCTCTCTCCTGTATTTATTTTCTCTCTTTGGCTGTACCATCATCAGATTTTTATTAGAATTGGGTGTTTGGGCACTTTTACTAAACATATGTCTACATATATTTCTACCGTTTTCTTTTTGTGGTTGTAGGAAACTGTTATTAGCATCCAATGCAGAGTTAAGCTAAATACAAAATCCTGGAGAAAGTGTGAGTGCTGTCTCTGAGAGGTGACCTGGAGCAGGTGAGGGGTGTGAACGTGTGTCTGATTGTCTGCAGTGAGAATCTGTGTCTGATTGTCTGCAGTGTGGGGGAGGGTTTCTTGCGACCAATGATGATCGTTAGGCCTTTGAACTTGAACTACTTAACATTTCACACTTGCACCCAATATTGTGTCTCGCCTAGTCTTGTAAACTTAGTGTCTCTTCAAACCCCAAGTAACCACAGATTATATTTAGTTTAAATTATAAGTTTCTCTTAGAAATTATCAATTTCTTTTTTATTTATTCATGCTGGAGTGTGAGTGTCAATCCATGCTATCTAAGAGGGAACTTGTGTCATTATGTACCAGCCAACAGTGGACATTTTTGTAATGCAAAACAACAAACAAAATGCATTCCGTTACATACAGATTAAAGATACATGTACATTGTAAAATTGATTGAAATCCTGTGATTGTCATAATTGGTCAATATACTGGGAAAATTGGGGGCTAAATCCTTTCAAAGGGCTGGTGAAAGTTCATAATAAATCTGTTTTTAGCAAATAAAAAAAGAACATTAAGAATCTTCCTGCTGACATTTACTTCCTAATTAAATTTATTTATCATGCTTGAGGAATATTTAATGATGTTGGAGTGTGACTGTTGCTCCATAGGATCTAAGAGGGACATGTGCCCTATGTAGCAACAGTGGATTCCTGTCATTTAATGTGTCATCGGTAATAGTCTTTTTGTCATGGGTAATGTGGGTTACACATTTCTTAGCAAAGGACAGCAGCTTCTCAGGTGGAGGATCAAACTTCAGGCTCTTGAATTTTTAAGTTGTAAAGTTTGTGCTTTAATGTTTTGTTTGGAGAAAGGAGGCAAGTTCAGAATAGGGAATGTGTGTGGGTCAAAAAGCGTCAAATACCAGTGAACTAGTTATGAGCAATACTTTGAATGAAGAACATATTATGAGTTGGAAAAGACTTAATTGAGAGTTATTTGGAAACTATTACTTGTTACATAACAATAGACCTTATTTACAAGTATAACTAAAGATTCTATTTAGGTTACATTATAATTTTCTTTAAGAATCATACATTCTTTTTACTCATCCATGTTGCAGTGTGAGTGTCGATTCATGCTATCTAAGAGGAATTGTGTCATTATATACCAGCCAACAGTGGACATTTCTGTAATGCAAATCAACAAACAAAATGCACACCTATAAATATAGATTAAAGAAACAAGTACATTGTAAAATTGATTAAAATCATGTCCTAATTGGTCAATATCATATTTGGAAGATTTGGGGGCTAAACCATTTCAAAGGTCTAGTAAAACTTAATAAATATGTTTTAGCAATTAATAAAAAATTAATACAAAGTATCTTGCTGCTGACCATGTTGTTCCTACTTTTTATTTATTTATCTTAAAGTACTTATGACTCTCCTGACTTGTGGGCAGCCCTTCATTTTGATGCAGTGTCAAGATTGAAAATGGTTAAGCCATCAACTAAAGCTGAGACATCATATTTCATTACAAAACAATAATAACAAATCATGCTTGAGGAATATTTAATGATGTTGGAGTGTGACTGTTGCTCCATACTATCTAAGAGGGGACATGTGTCGTTATGTAGCAACCAACAGTGGATTCCTGTCATTTAATGCCATACAAGTGTGGACCTTTTTTTCTGTAGGCAATGCGGACCAGTAAATATTATGCATTCCTGATGAAAACTCATCAGGACATTAATGCTTCATGAATTAATTTGGGTAGCCCTTTATATTAGGGCTTGTCCATAAAGTACACAGGTACATCTAAGCTTGCATGTCTGTAACTAAACCAGCATTTTCATTCCACACTTCAACAAGGGATCGACTTTGCCTCTGGATGTCATGTCATCGGTAATAGTCTTTTTCTCATGGGTAATGTGGGTTACACATTTCTTAGCAAAGGACAGCAGCTTCTCAGGTGGAGGATCAAACTTCAGGCTCTTGAAGGTTTAAGTTGGTAAAGTTTTACTTATGACTCCCCAAACTTGTGGGCAGCCCTTCATTATAATACAGTGTACATGTTTAAGCCATCCATTAAAGCTGAGACTTTATATTTCATTACAAAAACATAACAAATCATGCGGAATAATTATTGATGCTGGATGTTGGAGTGTGACTGTGCTCCATACTATCTAAGAGGGGACATGTGTCGTTATGTAGCAACCAACAGTGGACTCATGTCATTAAATGCCATACAAGTGTGGACCTTTTTTCTGTAGGCCTAATGCAAACATGAAAATACCATGCATTCCTGATGAAAACCCATCAGGACATCATTTATTTGGGTTGCCTTTTATCTTACAGTCTGAAGCTTAATACTAGTTAGGAAATCTACTATTGCTGAGCCTTTAAGTTTGTTTCAAAAGCATATTATCAAATCATGTGTCAACAGACTGCTTAGTTGAGATTATATTTTCTCATAAGTATTATTGTTTTGATTCAAAACCAGTCTAAGATTCAGTTATTAAGAGCAAATACAAAGTAACTCTTTAAAATGCATACATCACAGGTCATAAAAATGACCATCCCACACAGAAGAATATGAATTCCCCTAAGAGAAAATTAAAATAAGTGCACTAGTGTAATAAGATATTTTATTATTATTTAAACGGTATTTGAAACCTAGATCAAGTAATTTTTGTTGGTAATACTGTAGTGCTTGATATCAATGCATGCAGCAAAGTTACTTCTGAATTAAAGTTTAAAGTTTATTTATTTCAGTTAAAGTGATTAAAGTTTGGATCACGGTGAAATGTTTACACATCGCTCACATTAAAGTTAAATTATCCATTTTTGAAAGAAACAAAGAAAGTCTTTGAAGGTAAAAACAGTCATTAGGTGAGAATGAGCACAGACAGTTCCACTGCATAACAATGGAGGTCCCTCTTGGATAGGTAGCTATCGTTTAAGGATCTAAGTCCCCTCTTGGCAATTTCTTTAAAAAGCAAAAAAAAGCAAATTTGCAGTAATATTATGTTAAAAGACAGTAAAAGTAAATTTTGTATTATATTTATTTTACTTCAAAAGGACTGGAAACACAGGTCCACACTTGGCAGTTTACTCCGACGGTGCACTGTTGGATAGGTACGCGTGTATGTGTGTGTGTGTGTGTGGGGGGGGGGGGGTGGCTGTAGGTCTGCACATTCTAAGATTTGTTGTTTGTTTTATTTTTATTTTTCTATTTCTGCAATCATCATTGACGCTTTTGTAATGGCAACAAAAGTCTGTAGATCATTGCCAAAACCCACAGACCTCACAGTCGTCTTTGGGCTAAAGATGACTAGCTGGCATTCAACAATGTGCAGAATGATATGTAAACACTGTGGCATCTAGAGACTTAATCACATACATTGTTTCGGCATGCACTCTCAGATTGTAATTAACTGCATGTTTCTTGGAACTGTTGGAGGTAGAGAAAGAGGTGGTTGGTGTTCATTATGGCATTATGTGGTTGTTTGCCAAGTGTGAGTGTCTATACATGTGTTCCTGTGTGTTATTTTTGTGCATATGTGTATTTGTTTGTATTTGCAGTCAGGGGAGATCCTTTGTTTGCATTGCAATGTCAGTCATTAAGAAGAGTCACGCAGTCTAACTCCAAATAACTGCAATTTAGTGCCACCAGTGTTTCAACATACCTCCCCTGTAACAATGGCGTTGTAGAACAAAAGTTTGGCAACTCAAGAGACTTTAGAGAGAGGAAAGAGTTTCCTTAACATATAGCCTGAAATGATAAATGCCATGTCTCGTAAACATTCCCAAAACCAAGAGCAAAACTTATTTAGGAACCAAACATTCCTTCACTTACACTGAACTCTTTCACATTTGGATTTCCATGTTGTTTATGGTTCGTGGTCAGATTTGTTATTCTTATCTGCCCTTTCTTATTCCAGCATTGTCTGATAGCCAGTCCAACTCCCTCCTGAATGGGAACTTTGTGGTGGCCATGTTCAAAAGGGAAATCACCTTCAAGGGAACCATCATTGACTACAGCGGCTCGGACACAAAAGTGGAGCGCATCAACTGCACTGAGCGCATTGAGGAGGAGCTCATTCTGCAGGTATTAGGAGGACGCTTTCTCCTCTTTGTTTTTCATTACTGTGTTTTCTTTGTCAGTCACTCCTACATTAGTTATACTGTATTTCCCTCAGCCTCCTCTCACTCTCCTTTAGTCTCGATCTCTACATCTCCTCCTGTAAACGTTTTCTTCCTTCTCACCCACCGACATATGGAGCCAGCTAGATAGAAAATCAGTGTTAAGTCTTTCGACCTTGTCTTCCCCACCATCGTTTCCACAGGTCTTGTGTGTGGGAAACCTCCACAACCCAGACGTCCGCTACTCCTTCAACATACCCATCGAGGAACACAGGGAGCAGTTTGTGTGGGATCCCTCAGGCTCCTGGCTCGAGTGCACTCGCATCTGTCAGGGTAAGATCTCAGCTTGGCTTCCAAATCTCCACACATGAATAACAGGATCAATTCTCTTATAATACACGTATAAGTACATATTTAATGTAAATTTAGGCCCATAGTTATTTAAAAAATTGTGATTGTGAACAAAAGTGTATTGCTGAAGAGGCTTGTGATCCAACTGACATGCACATTTCATAGCTACTCTTAATGTAAACCGAAATATATACCACCAACAAATCTGTAAAAAGTGTGAAATTTATAGGAACCATAATGTGTCTTTATTACATGAAATCATATTACATGGATATGGATCTTTGCATCACTTACACACCTCTGGATACACCTCTGGACTCATCCCCTCTTTCGATAAACCCCCCTCCCGGCAACCCCAGTGTGACCCCGGCCAATCACATCGCCTGACACCTTCCCCTTAGCTTGGCCCTTAACCCGTCTTAGCCCCTCAAATTTTTGTTTTAGAAAAAGTCTAGTCAGGCTCCCAGTGGGTCAAAGTGCACAGCGGATCCAGTAAATAGATGTATTTGTGGGGTCTGAGACCGACATGGACCCATAAGGCTGTATGATGAAGGACTGGATGTCAGAAAGCTGGTCAGACTTGTTAAAGATGAAGAAATGTGATATTTTGGCAAGTGACCTGTCTGCCAGATGTTGTCTGATTTGAACCCTGCTTTTCGTCTTGTGTGTGTGCAGGTGAGCGAAGACGAAAGGCGGTATGTGTGCGTAAGAGTGATCACCTTGAGGTATCGGACCAACGCTGTGAACATTTACCTCGTCCTGTTGCTGTTACTGAGCCCTGCAACACTGACTGTGAAGTCAGGTGTGCATTAATGCACAAAGACACACACATACACCCACCAAAAACAAACAAGAAAAATCTACCGAGTACACACAGGCAACCATTTGTCTACCTCCCCTCTCACACAGGTGGCATGTTGCTGGAAAGAGCGAATGTTCTGCTAAATGTGGGCCAGGCTACCGCAGCCTGGATGTTCAGTGTATGAAGTACAGCCTGATGAAGAGACAGAGTGAGAGGATGGAGGCCAGCGCCTGTGGAGACACTGCCAAACCTCAGACCAGAGAGCCCTGCCACGGGGATTGTCTGCTTAAGAGCTGGCAGTACAGCACATGGTCACAGGTACAATTTCACTAATAATAATTTCATAATCATTTCATTATTGGAGAAATTACAGCATAGATTAACACATGTGTAAGTGGGCTGAACATGTTTAAACTATTCTTGTAAACAGTGCTCTAAGACATGTGGACGTGGAAGCCGTAGCAGAGAGTCTTACTGTATAAACAACCTGGGTAGACGGCTGGTGGACAGAGAGTGCAACGATTACCAGAGGGTGGTCACTGAAACCTGCAACGACCAGCCTTGTCCGAAGTGGACTGTTAGCGAGTGGAGTGAGGTGGGGACATCTCACACGCATGCGCACACACACAGCAACACTTTCCAAAAGCAGCAAGAAGGTTGAAAAACATATTTGTTAAGCTCGAGAAGGGGACTACAAAGCATAAATCTACAAACTTTGATACAATTACTGTCAGAAAACCATCCTTCAGCACAGCTCACCACTGACATAGGTTAATAGTAAAGTCTGGGGTGTGTAATATTATACAGGAGGTGGACCAGATTGCCATGAAATAATAATGACATAATACAGTTATTAAGTTATACCTAGCCACATCCAGTGCAACACAACAAGACAGTCCTTCCTATAAATCCTACCTTGAAAGGTCAAATGATGATTTTAAAGTTTGTATTAAAGGTTGTAAATGTATTTTCTAACAGGTGAATGTCTGATTTTGAATGCCCAAATGTACACACTCACACACAATTTCTTGTTGATTACATTTTCTCTACCTTTTCCACCATCATCTCACACCCTGCCACACCCACCATCCTCACCCAGTGCCTGGTGACTTGTGGGAAGGGAATGAGGCACAGACAAGTGTCCTGCAGCATGGGAGCTGGGGAGGAGAAGCTGAGCGAGCACTTCTGCGACCCATCTAGCAAACCTCCTGCTGTGGGGAGCTGCAAGCTGCCTGAGTGTGCGTCCTGGCAGGTCGGCGTCTGGGGAGCGGTGAGTCCTGCAGACACACGCGCACTTGCACACACACACATTCACACAGCTACGACATAGACACAAGGGCGAGGTGACTTGACGCAGTGTTTGACTGTGGAAATGGCTTTCACGTGTGGCTTGCCGTCTAACAGTGTGACTCGTATCTGTTACACTGTGTGTGTGTGTGTATGTGTGTGTGGTCACAGAGAGAGAATGTAATGTGTAGGAGTGATGGTGTATATTTCAAGTTAGTGTGTGTGTGTGTCTGTGTTTGTTTGTAACCTGATATAACGGCAAGTTACGATGGAGTGCGCTCTGACTCCAGCTGCCATTTCCTCCACGGTGCTTTCACTTTGCCCTCATATCCTGTCAGACTAAACCTGACCCACAGTACACACACACACACACACATACACATGTTCCTATACATTAAAATGTCTTAAGTTTCCAACTGTTTCTGTATAGTCGTAGCCCTGTTAGGATAAAGCACAAATTGAATGAAACATGTATGAATGGGTGTCTTTGGCCATTCATAGTCTAGTTTATACATGTAGATCTAATACCGCCACACGTGTTTGTTTGAAGTCAGATAGTGGTATTTACAGAGCTGGAATATATTGGCTGGTTAATGCCTATGTAATTATAATTTGCTGGTCAAATAAACCTATCCTGTGGCACTACCTCTGCACTCTTATTGTACCTGAATGTGGTCAAATCACCTCGTATGTGAGTTAAGAATTGGGTAAAGGGTCGAGTTGAGACTGTGGGTATGTGTGTGAACGCATGTGTCCAAATGTGTGCATGCATGTCAGAGTCTTACCCAGGCTCTGCTGAGCTGAACCTTGACAGAAGCCCCATCTAAGATTACAACCTTGACGTACTTAGATAGAGATTGAGATAACTTGTGGTTGACTGGGATTCTCTCTTCTTGTGTTTGTGTGTGTGTATGTGTCTGTGTGATTTTGTCTTTCAGTGTGCGGTGACCTGTGGCCATGGCTACCAGATGAGAGCCGTTAGGTGTGTTTCGGGGGACTACGGGGACACAGTAGATGACAGAGAGTGCAATGCTGCGGCGAGGCCGAGAGACAGTCAGGTAAAAAAAAAAATAATTACACACTCCGAACTGCTCAAATAACCAAAAGTTCAACAGTCAAATTTCAGTCTTAGTTGTCCCAGAGTCACTGGTTTTCTCTTGGGGAAATAAATAAAATGCAAGTCAAAAATGACCTACAGCATTAAATCGTGCATACGTGATTGAATGAAGATGCCATATATTATGCATATCTGAGGTCAGGACACAAACAAGACACAAAGCTCAATTGTTTTTTGGAAATTTCACTTCCTGGATTTTTTACAAGTATGAGTATGTTGGCTAACATTTATTTTCACCCTGATTTTATGTTTACAATAAGTTTGAAAGTTTAGTAGGGCCCTCTTGGACAATTCAGAATATGCTTCCGCTAACATAAAATAACTGCTGATTACTGTAAATTAGGGATACACAATATATTGACTCAATATCTTTATTGAAATATCATGTTGCAATACGATATGTTGCAGATACTATGCATGCTTTTGTGGAGAGATGCGTCCATAGCTGTGTGGCTTAGTTGTGTTAGATTAAGAGCCCGCTTTAAAACGGATGGGGACAACAAAACAACAGAGATTAAAGGTGAAACGTATCAGAAACAGGGCCCATCAACTTGCTCCCCCCCCCCCCCCTATGTTTAAGACTATCAAAATCAATATCATTATCACAATATTCATGACCAACATTGCAATATCACATTTTGGTAATATTGCGCAACTTTACTGTGAATCTTGCAACCAGACATTCCAGATTTAGATCACTGTTGAGCCAAGGAATAGGTTACCTGGCTACCAGGGTTGTTTTAACCTTTAATCCTACAAGATAGTATCACTACTAAGCCAACTTAACACAGGATTAAGTGATTTTTATGGCCACTTTGGAAGCTACAGGGCAAGCTGTAAACACAACATTGGCCTGTTATCACTTTGGCAAACAATTATCTATTTAAACATCCAGAAGACACGTAGCGACATGAGTATTTATTTGGATTCATTTTTCTATCCACAACTACAACTGATTGCCATACTGGCTGGAAGTCCAAAACTCACATTCCTTTTAGCTAGAAATATATTTTAGATAGAAATATCTGGCACTTACTCTGCAAAGTATACCCTATGTTTACTAGCTAGTTTCTAAGTTTGCCAGTCTGCCGTTGCCGTGCTGGGCAGGGAGATTATAGTAGGTTGATAAGAACATTTTCAGTGAAAACAGCAGCAGGTTAATGAGAGCGGTAGTAATGAACCAAACACTAAAGTTGTGGGCCGGAAAACCAAAACAATGCTAAAATCCTTCGTAGAGCTGAACTGTAGAGTGAAGTGATAATAATTCGCAGTGAGTTTGTCACTGTGAATGACCCTTTTCACATTACTCATAGTTATTTGATCCATTGTTACTATAAAAAAAATTAAATAGTGCAGCTTTAAATCTCACTGGCTTAATTTGTACAGTGAGATTTGAACCTAAAAATATCTACTGGTCACTCTGATTCTGATTCCAGCTCAGTGAGTGACCACATTCATTCAGTTATTTTGATGCTGTAGCCAGGGAGAGCTCTTGTCAATGTTTTTTTTTTTTTAAATTAAGAGCATCTCCACTCACCTGCAAAGTATCCTTGATCGCCACTCTTCGACGATGCTGTTAAATCAAGCGTATGACCTATAAACTACAAACTTTAGTGAAGCAAACATTGCAACCTAGTTAACGTCTGCAGTCTCTTTAAATGTTGGCTTGTCCTGCTTTGCGTTGACCAAAAGTCCAAGCCAGTGTCAATGTGGACAAAGACTACAAGGCTGCAGCACACTTTACCTGAGTGGTTCAAGTATATACCATAAGGGCTCTTAGACGCTGATGGACAGAGAGTGTTGAACTGATGACCTTTCAGTCTCCGGATGGGTGATCTGTCTCAGATCAGGTCACTACAATATGGACAGACATTGTATTAGGTGGATATACAAGCTTTGAAATGGTACTAAACTAACAGCTTGAGACATTCTTAACCACAATAATGTACATAAATAACCTTATGTTTCAAGCATTTTTTATTTTGTGTGGTTATTTGTCTATAACCGTTAACCCTGTTCCTTTTGGACAATTTTAGTCATTAGAGCACATGTTCTAGATCTTTGCATCCAAGGGAGTCTCTGAAATGTATTTAGAAATATTCTTGGCATATTTACTCCCGCCACTGCAATGTAGTGATATATGACTCTCGATAATTACTAATTTTACCCTATTTGCATGATTGTTTTTTGTAGGACTGTGAGATGCATGCGTGCCCATGGTCCTCTCTGCCACAGAGCACACCACTTCCTGACAACTCTGCTCAGCTCCTGACTCAGTGGAGATACGGCTCCTGGACTGCGGTAAGGAACAAGTAGGGTTTATTTGGTCTTTCAGAACACGTTACAGTCGGTAGGTTAACCTTATACAGTCCAAAAGAATATACAAAAGCAATGCGGTTTTTGTACCTGTGTGCTGTTTCATTCATCTTTCTGTGTGTGTATAGCTTGAGGGGCATGATCTACTGGGCTTTGGAATCAGACCCTGTCTTAAACAAAGAATTAAAAATGAGAAAACTGATGAAAAAGGTTGTTTATCTGTGTGTACGTGTGTTTCTGTGTATTTAATAGAGGAAAACCACACTAGTAATGATGAGTCTCATGCATGTGTGTTTTCAAATATAAGGTTGACATAATCAACTTTATTGTAAATCCCAACATTCTTTCAGTACGTACTGTACAGGACCACGATCCTGTTTGGCATTGACTCTTTTACCCCCTGCTGCATCTACACACACGCATACACACACACACAGGCTCCACTGTCTGGGCTGAGAGGCCCCTCTGTCTCTGTGATACTTTGCATTGTTACTCGTCGCAAATGAAAACCAGATTTCATCTAAACACAAGTCTATGGTTTCTAAGATTGAACCCCGTCTGCCAATCTGAAAGTTGGTGTGAGCTCACATGTCAAAGAGGCCAGCGCCAGTGTGGTCTAACAGACACACACAATACATGCACAGATACACATTCCCCCAAACAGCGGACCTGCCATCCTATTTGGAGTGTCACTGATATGAGAGGAATAATAACATGCCTATTTAAGCTGGAGCCATTTGATTGCATTAGGTATTCATCCCCTGAAAAATGTTGACCGTGATGTCCCATTGAGATGGCAGGGGTACAGCTTTAAATTATAAGCAGGTGAAAATTGATTAGGGAGTCATTTCAGGACACAAGTAATAGTAGAGAAAATCATTAACACATTTATTTGTGACACCAGGTAAAGAATCCACAATATGATTTTCATCCAAAAATGTTGCTGTTACATTTAGAAATGTCTGTTACTTCTTATAACATGGACACATGATGACTGGAGATGTTACTGAACCGCAAAAAATCCTTCTCTACAGACAACAACAAATTATTGTACAAGTCTTGAGAAACCTACTAGCATCAAAAAAACAAAAACAAAACAAACGTGAATGCAGGTTTGTTTGTCAGCTCCGGTAAAAAAAACAGGAGCAGAAAAGACAGATCAAGACTATTTATGCTGAAACAAATTTAAAGAGGTGGTATTATGCTTTTTGGCACTTCCCCTCTCCTTTATTGAGTTATATATCTTTTTTGTGCATGTAATAGGTTTGCAAAGTGAAAAAGCCCAAAGTCCAGCCCAAAGGGAGTTTCCATCTCCCACAGAAAACTCTGCTCTGAACTGCTGGAAAACAGCTCGTTTATAGTCCAGCTGTTTCCCTTAAGCAAAATGCGCATCATATAACGCTCGCCAAGCAGCTAGTCCGACACGCCCTCAAAAACACCAGTGGAAAAACACTGAGCTGCAGCACACACCTTTCCTCTCCCTTCCAAACACTAGCTACCCTCCAGTCAGTGGACATAAAGTTGTTACTGTGATGTAGAGACAGAGCTCAGTTAAAACTTTATGGATGAAAGATACATTTGTTACAGATTAATAACTCACCACTCTGAAACTCTTTCTCCAGTCTATGTTGCCAAGCTGGTCGTCAACATATACAGCTGAACCAAAGCTGTGTTTACCGGCTTCTCACTGACCCGCCCTTCTCTGCTTCTGATTGGCTAGTAGTCCTTAACTAGGAACTACGCATGTGGAACTCCCAACAAAGATCATGTAGAGGCAAGATGTATCACTCTATAGCTAAAACGAAGCGTTCAACACAGGGTGAAAAGAGGAGCTGCAGCAATGTGCAGTATGACAAAAATATGGTGTGTTTTGAAAATTAAACCATGTAAACCTGTTCTGATACAACCCCTAAATAAGATTTTGAACCTGAAAATGAGCATAATACCACTTCTTTAATAACCGTATGCAAATTGTGCTCAATAACATGATTTCTCGTAGAAAACATATATGATATAAATCATCCTCAAACAAGATATTACAACTTTTTTGAAGTGTGCTATTTGCATTGTGGTGGGAATCTTCTCAAGGAAGTGATCAAAAATGTATTTTTTAAGAAACAAGGGGGCACTGGGTAACTTTCAGGTAAATATTGTTCCAGCTCACCAATGTCACTTACTATAAAATATCGAGTATATGTCTTCTACAGATGCTATAAATCTATAGATACATCATATATATTACATACAGTATATATCTCATTACCATTTTGGTCTGCCACTTTGCAAAAATAGTATGGCACAGCTTACATGGCAACATTGTGGTGCATTTTCTAAACTGTCGCACTCTACCTTGTAATAATTTTGAAAACTAGAATGCATTTAATGGCATCACTTAAAAACCGCATGATACAAACATTTTTAAAATTCCACATAAGACAAATATTTATCTATATTAAATATTTATTTATCCGCATGTTCTCCAGTGCTCGGTGTCCTGTGGCAGGGGAAAACAGGCACGTTATGTCAGCTGCAGAGATGCCCAGGGAGGAGTGGCTGACGAATCACACTGTGCCCACCTGCCCCGCCCCCCGGAGTCCTCCGCCTGCTTCAGCCCCTGTGGCCAATGGCGTGCCGGGGAGTGGTCTCCTGTGAGTTAAACATCCAACACTGTGTCCAGTCAATGCAGATGTTTTCCACTCTGGAGACTTTCAGTAATCACTCACAGTTCATTTTTCCAACAATGTGAAAATCACCCTGAAACAAGATGGCCATTTGGTTGTGTCGTGATCTTGGACGGTAAAGTATTGATTTGTGAATGTCGACATGGCAAGAGAGCCAAATCTTTTGATGATGTCTCTAAAAGACCAGGGCTGGGGATTGTCTAACTGGCAGTTAAATAGCCAGGGATGATTTACAGTGATACTGTCGCAATCTTTTAATCATGTGTTCGTGTGAAATTAAGTCCTCTTTAAATCTAAGAGCCTAAATGAAATATGTGAGGTCTTAAGTTCGTGAAATTCATGCCATGTTAAGCTAATTTCTACTGCTGTTGTATTCCCATTCACGGTATGTGGTGTATCACATCACATCAGGAAGCAATATATGGGACAATACATGTATATGGGAGCAATCAATGAAAACAACACTCCCAAAACTTAGGGCTGTTTTAGAACCTGGAAAATCTCCCATAAAAATCTCATTCAAGAAATGAATGGAAGAGGCCTTGGGAAAAGGAATGCAGAGATTAAATGTCAAGATACTGTCACATTTAGAAAGTATAGAATAAATACATCACATCATCACGTCAGACCACATCAGTCTAGAACACAATTCTTATAGCATTGCAGACCATGTAGCTGAGTCTGAATTAATTCAAGATTAAATTACTGTTTAGTTTTTTACATTATTGGACCTCCATGTTTAACACCTCTCTCCTCCATGTCCCAAGTGTTCAGTGACTTGTGGCATAGGAAGGAACAGCAGGCAGGTGGTCTGCTCTAACTACCACCAGCCAGTGGACGAGTCTTTCTGTGATCCGGATGATAAGCCTGCAACAGAACAGGATTGTACGGCGGCGCCCTGCTCCTCTATCTACCACCGTCAGCGCATCAATGACCAACCCTACGGATATCCCCAGGACCCGGGACGCCATCCTGGCCACAGCAGCTGGAATGTGCCGTCAGCAGACAACCAGTGGAGGACTGGACCCTGGGGCGCAGTATGTTCAGCATGTGATTTTGGAGAAATTGCACTGAGCAGAAGTATTTTGTCTTGTGGTAGATTCACTTTTGAAATTTCAGTAATAATTTGCATCATTTACTTCTCCATTAGTTACGTTTCTCAAGAGCTTCTCATGGAGCCTGATTAATATTCGTTATTGGCACACAAAATGTAAATTTCATAAGAAAGCCCATGAAGAATTAAATGTTTTTTTATGCATGGTCAGCATGGTACATGCTGTAGTATGCATAATGTTTTGTCCTGAGGGCCTGTGCGTGTCCGTAAACACATTCTTGTGAACACATTAACACATTGGCAGATGTTTTCATTTCCTCAGGCAGAGGGCCATACATGGTAAAGAACTTGACAAACAGCACCAGGGGACAGTTTTCAATGCATGTTTGGGACTTTAGAGTGTATATATGATGTGTCAGTGTATGTATAGACATTTAGGGCTCTATAGCTGTGTAACCAAGAAAAACTCTCGGTTACTTCAAGGTTTATTGGACATGTACAAACCCAAATGGTTCAGGGCTGTTCCTGGTCCTAATTCTCTTAATGTCCTTGGCCTTGAATCAAATTGTCAAAAAAGCACATGAGTAATGGGTGATTCTTAATAATAGTATAATCTTCCACCAATTGTAGGATACATGATGGCCTTAACTTTTAGTTGATTAAATAACTGCAGCCATTATATGTTATGTGCTCTTTCACCCCAAATTTGTGCTTTCACTTGCCTAGTCTCATGAATACAGAGCCCAGTGTGTTGTTTTAAAGAGAGGACCTGCTCCCTGCCAAAGGATAATTGACAGAAGTGAAAGGCTAAGATTTAACACCTAATTCCCATTTCTAATAAGCACAAGTCAGTTAACAGATGGCTGTTACTCCATCAAAAGACCTGGTTATTTTACTATGAAACTCTATTTGAGAGATCAATTTAATGTTTGTTAGGAGTTAAATGTTTTGTGGGGTTTTATCTTCTTTTCCCTTTTTCTGAAAGGCATGAGAAGAACATTGTTCTATTCCACCACTACCCCATCCCCCCAGCAGAGGCATTCATCCTTGCACACTTTTCAGTCTCACATAATGAACTTGACTGTAATCACTGCTGTTCAGGCTCACTCTGTGCTGTCCTCCCTCACATATATATAAAGAGCACTGAATGCACTCACTCCCATTGACAGTGGGGATGTGTAATTTTAATTGGATGCAGAGTGTACCTACTGCTCTGTTCAAGGCTGTGTTGTTCAGTGTTTGAGGCTGTCATTCATGGACTGATGTTTTTCATCTTTGGAAAAACATTTTGAACATTGCAGCTGGGTTTGGTCTTGGTTGCACTCATGTTTCATCAAACAGGTTGTGTATTGTGTATGTATTTGGGTGTGTCTGTACATGAGTGCCTGTATTTTTCTGGTTTCTAAATACTAAAAAGACCAATTTCAGTGGAATCTATGAAATCCTCTACATTATGTTTTGTAATGTATGTTTTTTTTAAGTGTAAAAAAGAAGGGCTAAATGCTTTTAATATGTTTAAACTTAGCAGGTGTGTAAAAAATGTTGCATAAGAGCTTGAGTTGTTGAAACAAACCATAGCATGAGCTTGTTTTTGTTATTTATGTACGAAAATTAAACAGCAGTGAAGTGTAGAATTAGGTACAAATGTATCTACTGGTGCTAGTATAGTATAATAATATATAAATGGAAAAACTTAAAGACATGTATGTATCTCACCTATCCCAATCATCTAACTAAGAAATGTACACATCATGCTAGGCCTTACAGTATGAGTACATAAAAGTACTTAAAAAAGCTTCCTTTAAATACATAAATCAACAGTTAAATCAACAGCCAGTAAGATCAGCTAAACCCAACCAATTATGGCTTGTGAGGCATATTTGTGTGTGCATTTGTCATAGTCCTCATTGACACACTTTGTTTGCTCTGCAGTGTTCTAGTACCTGTGCAGGAGGCTTCCAGAGGCGAGTGGTGGTCTGTCAGGATGCTGATGGACGCAGCAACAGCTACTGTGATGAGAGGGTCAAACCTACCGAGTCTAAGAGCTGTGATTCTGGGCCCTGCCCTCTGTGGAACTACGGTGTCTGGGGAGAGGTGAGGTTATGTTGGGTTTTTGTCCATACTCTTACACTTACACCACTTGCTCATTGTGAACTTTGTTACATTTCCCACACACCTTTGTTTTTCACAATTATCATCTGTTTTGTCTAAATTGTCTGTATGTCTGTCTCTCTCTTATCACTTTTTATACAAAAAACAGTATTTGTCCAATCTCAGTCTGAAAGAGTCCAGAGTTGCCCCACTGAAGCACATTATAAGACACATTCTTATATAATAGTGTAACATGAATTTCTGTTTGTTAATTTCAGTGCACCCAGACCTGTGATGGAGGAAGGAGGACTCGCCTGGTGGTTTGTCAAAGGCCCAACGGCCAGAGGCTCAATCACTACAACTGTGATGTCCTTGACAAGCCGACCGACATGGAGCAATGCAACCTGCAGGCCTGCCCAGGCTCTGCCTCCTGGCACCGCCGACCATGGAAGCCGGTACGATAGTACTATTCGTTTTCCTCCATCACTTATCTTCCTCTCTGAGGGCGCGTCACTGTGAGTAGACATAGTTTGTGCTAAAATGACTTCAGGCCTGTGCACTGAGTGTGTTTTTAGCCTTAAACTGTAGGAGTTTCTAACGTGAGCGCTGGGTTCCTTGCGCCAGTATTGGCTAACCAGCGCCAGCCCACCCAGATGGGCCCTGCAGTGGCATGGTGCTGATTAGAATCCTGAAAAAAAGAAACAATAAACAAAAACACAATGCTGCTCCACTTAGGGATCATTAAAACCACATGGATCCCATTTTGCACCAAGGCTCCAAATTAAAACCTATAAATCAGGACAGTGTTGTCCAACAATGCCATATATTTGTAGAGGCTTAACTCTAGAAAATATTTATTTCATATATGAGGCGTGAAGTAAATGTTCTTTGTTGTTATTGCTGTCTTCACCATGTATACAATGTACACAAGTGTATATTTGTGTATAAGAGTTAATATTATGATCTTTATTGAACAGCAACAAATGACTGTCAGTGTATTTTGTATATGTATCTCTGTACAGTATGATTTTTGTTTTTCAAGTAGCTAGTTTCGTTACTGAATATTATATTTAATATTTTTGCTGTTATTCTTGGTAAGGCCTCTTATATCTCTCTATGAGTAAATACAATTTGTACAGAGGAAAATATTTTCAAAACATGTTTCATTTGTATTTTTGATAATGTGTTTTTTTTACTTACGTTGAAATGCAATTCGGAATGGCTTCATCTTCATACAAATTAACCTTAAACAATATTCAAAAACTAAATTAAAAGTGCCTTGAAATCATTGAAATTAGGCATAATAATAATATTATTTCTAAAAATATGAATAGTTTTTTATATTTCAATAAAGTATATTGTCCAATATATGATGTATTCTATATCACAGAGGAAAACGGGCGGAAGCGCTGATAAAGTACACTGTAATTACCATTCAAACATATTTCTTTACCTGCTTCTTACTTTACATACAGTCCATTGGGCACAAGATTTTGTGCTATGTCACAAAAAACAATGGCTTGTCAAAATGAATCATTTTAAGTGTTAATGGAAACGGTGACACTTTGGACTTAAACCTAATGTCATATCTGTGAAAGGATGTCAGTCTGAGATTTAATCCAGTTTCTTTGTTATGGTAAGGTGCTATTAAATTTTACATTATATAATGGTGCATTGTAGGGATCATGAAGATAAAGTTTTTATCATATTTCCAGGCTTAGAATGAATTTATTTATTCTGTTAATGGTAGGCATCATCAGTGCAGCTTATTGAACATAAACCTGTCACTGCAGTACATCGAGGAGATCATTGAGCCGTTCTTTTTCAGCTTTCATCAATGTCTATAATACAAACTAAAGCACACAGATACCTCTCTTATAAAGTTATAGTCATTTGTTGCTGTGTCTGTTTAGTCCTTTGGCCAGTTTTTGTATTTCTGAAGGATTTTGTTTTTCAAATGAAACTTATTTATTTGTTTACAATAGCTTATTAATTGTTGCAGCTTTAATGTTTTGTTCCAGTTGATGTAACACTTTACTTGAATTATTTGTCATTAGACACAGGTCACCTAAACACTACTGGTTGGGGCCTTTTACAGTAAGGAGAAGCAATGCCCACTTGCCACTTCAGTCAGTGTCTGCAGTCACATGACATGGTCAGTGATGTAAATATATAGGCTTATGGGTAACAATCCCGCATGGCTTTGGCCCTGTTGTCTTGAAAAGCAAAAATGTCCACTTGAAATGAGTCACATAGATTTTCAGAGTCTAGGGCTGACTTTGTTTCAAATCCATACTTAAAACATGATGTTACTGGGAGCAGGTAGAAACTATTCATTCTTGGCAAGTTACAGCATCACAACATCACATTCATCTGAATCTCTCTGGCTGATTAGCCAGTACAAAGCAGGAAGAGCAGGTTTTTGCTTAACAATGTGGCCAAATGAAGCTGCTCTTATTGCTTTTACTTGTTGTAGCCTTAAAGAGCAACTAATCACCAGGTTTAACCCTTCACTTTGCTGCAGTCCTGTAGAGGTGTACTCAAGATTGTGTCAATACACCATGACATCACTGATAGGTATGGTTACAGGTGCAACTAGGCGCACTTCTGAACACCAAACCTTAAAAGTGTTTGAAGAACCTAGAGCGGGAAGTGAAATGCTGCTTTTCAGCCTAGTATTAAGTTACTCTTTAAGGACAGTTTTACGTATCCAGCCAGACTCTCACTCAGTGCAGGATCCACAGTGCTTTTGCCTTTTACAGTCTGATTATATGTCTCTCAGGTGCTCTTTGACACTGGTTGTGTAGCTTTATAGACTCAGGCAATTTGTGACCATTTTAACAATGTGACATGTAAGCACCATGAATAACATTTTGGTTAAGGCTACATAAAATGATTATGACACATATTTCAGGTGAAGTGTTGCAGTTGGGTCTATATTCATGTCCGTGTCCTCTCAGTGAGGATGTCTGCAGTCTTCTTCTTTGTTTTTTTTGCTTCTCTCACTCTGTGTCATTCTCAACCAAGTCTTCCACTACAAACAGGACTCCACAGCCATGGCAGTTTTCACTCCTACTCTATTTTTTTTTAACCTTGTGGTTGCCAAACTCAAGGGAGCAACTCTTCTTTATTTTGCATATTTTGGTTCGTTGTTGTTCTTTTTGCTATTTATTTCATTCACGTGCAAAAATACATAAACATGTTGAATTAGCTTTTCCCATTGTACAGATTATTAAAGAAACATACCTGTGAAATTTGTGTTGTTTCTCAATGCAATATTTTACTGACAAACAAATTACAGGGCTGTTTCACAACTTTAGCAGTTACTTTGTACTCTAAAGGAAGAGCGCAATGTACAGTCTACGTGTTATGTAGGTTATTAACACATATAAATCCTACAGACATGTCTCTAGGGAACCACATCACAAGATCAGAAAATAAGACACAATACACTAAATAGTAAAACTTGGGATAAATAGTTTATTGGTTTAATAGGGGAAGAGTTTTTGTTTAGATACATTAGGTATTCTTTCATATATAGCACCTTCGTAGTACACTAATTTGCTCAGATAAACCATGTGTATGCAATACTTTTACATAATGTTCATGTACTATGTAGTGTTACTGTAACCAGCTCATAGGAAAGACTTAAGTTATAGGTCATTATGTGGTATTTTGGCATTTGACCCTCATTTGACTTTGACTCATTTCAGGGCATTCTGTGTAGTGGCCTTTTTCAGTAATCCTTATAATAATTAAGTCAGTGGGGGTTTCTATACTTCACGTACCTCTGCAGAATGTAGTGTAAAAACACTACAGCTCTTTTCCTTTTATGCGTTTTAACATTTTATTTTGTAATCTCCCTGGGGAAAACATACACAGTCCAAATCAAAGGCGCTGTGTGGCACATCTGTTTACCATTGCAATAATGGAACTCTCTGTAATGCATTTGGCAGGAGCCGGACAGAGTATTACTTTTACTACAACAATAATTGAAATTAATTCATGCTGGCAAGGTTTTTTTAGTTCATGAGATTTTTGGATCTGCCCTAGAAAGCCATTTACAGAAAACTTTAATTGAATTATGTATTTTTTATTGGGAATACTTACTTAAATTAAAATAGCGTTTCAAAGCACATGTGTGAGAAGTAATATCAGGCACTCATTCAATGAATTTAGTAATTCAAGTAAATATAGGGGTATCATTATATTAATACATTTACAATAAGAAACCTCTAATTTACCAACTGCAGTAAAGCATTCATTTAATGTAGCTCTTTATGATGTAACACTCGCCTACATGCAGCATCCAGTGTTGATCAAAATGATTAAACGTAAATCTTAAGTTTCGATAACATCAGTTATCAAATTACCTTCACACAATCTTAGACTCAGACTTCTATCATGTACACAAGGAAGCGTTCAGACGGTCTTTAAACTTTTTTATCATTTCATAGAACCAAAATTGTAATATTGTCCTAGTGATCAAGCAAATGTTTAGGAGCTGATTCTCTTTTAAATGTCAGAGGAGGATAAAATGGTCTAGGATATCTTGTATTACATTGTCAAAATATTTCTTATGTCTTGTCATGGCCTCTTTGGTTGGTAGCATCCCCAAAATATTTTTTTATGCTAAATAAAAACACTTTTGCGCCACAAACATCAGTCACATCAATTTGCAACAAGACTAAAATGCTTTTTTTGTAAATATATTTCACACATGCTCTATATTCTCCCAAAAGGTATTATATTATTGTATACTGTTTAATCCGTTCTTGGGAATGTAATTCATACATTGATTATTCCACAGATAGTATTACTTGTAAGGGATTTTAGCCAAGCCACTTCTTCAATATTTTTTTTTCTTATGTTTAAAATGTAGGCTACATTCCTAGAAATAAACCTAAAGACCTGGGAAATGGCTTTATTAATGATGATGTAGTACCATCTTAACAATATTATTGAGTAATATGTTATTCAATTACTCAGTAATATAATATTGAGTAATCTTTTATGTTGGCATTCAATTACAGAAGGACAATAATGCCCAAAAGCAAGTTTACAAATTTAATTAAATCTTTTCTTAAATTTGTCTCCAAAATGATCTGCCTCCATTTTTCTCCCTGGACCCTTAATCATTTTTAATCTTGTACATGTGACAGCTTCAGAAACTCTAAAAACCACCTTCATTTTCCAAATACAGGCTATCAAAACACATTTGTGATATATACAAACAAAAAGACACGAAGCAATTATCACATTTATTGCACAAATATAGGATTGCAGACACAGTTCAACATAAACTATCAGCAATGTAAATATCATTATCTAATGGAAATTACCCTGAAAACAATGTTGATGTCAAATGTGTGCAAGCAGCATCTATGTGATAAATTAGCAACCAAGGCACCATTTTAGTAATTTATGCCTGTTTGTTGCTAAGAAAAACATACTGTTTCCTGTCAAGAGTGGGTTTCCCATGGTAGGGGATCGCAGCTGTGCGGCTGTGAACTAATCATGCTGCTTTAAATGAAATCCACATGCAGAACATTGACATACTTTGGCCTGAGGGCAGTGGGCAAGTACATTCTCCAAACCTGTCACCCTTGGGTCAGTTGGTTGTGACATCATTGGGCTTGTGTTTCCTGATCCTACCCATATGCCAGTTGAGTGTAAGCAATTGAAGCAGCGGCTGGAAGAATCCGCTCTGGTCCTCACAAGCATGGTTCTTGTCATGGCTTTAATTTAAATCTGAGTCGGGATATAATGTTTCATTTTGGCCTTTGAGAGAAAGCAAAATAGTTCAGTTGATGATTTGCTGGTTAAAAGTCAAGCACTATGGCCTACAGATTTTGGCAAACCATTAAGACTTGGGAGGCAGAAAACCAGATGCTGTGAGATGTTATCTGAAGATTCAAAATATTTGGATTATAGCAAGGCCTTCACATTAGGAATGGAAGTCTTTTATAGGTCAATCAGTTGGATAACATATTGCACAAAATAGATTTACTTTGCATAAACATCACCACAATTTAATGTAGCTTAGAGCGCAGTTAAAAGATTATCCTAATGTAGACGCAAAACCCAATCTGAAGGAATAAGAGTTGAGTCCAAACCACAATGAGTTTGTGCAGGGCATTGGAAAAAAATGAAGAGAGGAGCCCATCTAGTAAGGATAGAAGTTATTTTGTGGGTGATCCAAGTTGGGAGCAGATGCAATGAGATGAAATAAGAGGAAACAGGGCGTGAAAGTCTGGAAGCATTTAGGTTGGCCTCCCTTTGACACAGGTAGAGAGCGCCCGCTTTTCCTCAACCTGTCGGTCAAGTATTATAAAGTGGTTTTAAGCCGCTAGGAGTTACTTCTTAGACACCACTTAAATGTATATTCTTCTCACATGAGGCTACCACATCAGACTTGGTGGGGCCTGGCCCTGTTTGGGCCTGTCTATGCTGTCAAGTTGATAGAGTGAAATGGAGTTTGAGTTACTCGACATCTCTGTCAAAGAGCTTTTTCCCCACTTAGTGGAGAGACCGTGAGAGATGGGTGTTCTAGCCCACTTTCAGGGCACTGATAGTACTTAATTTCAACTCTAATGGAAAAGGCTGATGTTTTAGCTACACCTTAGAGGGTTAGAGATTTAGCTGTACTGTTTAGCCTGAACCTATTATTTAAGTGCGTGTGCTGTACCACGCGAGTTACCTACCTGTTTCTAATGGTTCATTGTTCTATGTTAGCAGAGCCACTGGTCCACAGATGTGAGGAAATTCCAATATGTCAGTCAGTGCCTGATGCTCTATTCATTGAAGTTATTTCTTCGGTCCCTTCTCCTCTTGCTGCTAAAAGACACCAACATTCAAAGGAAAAACAACTGCAACCAACAATTATTTTCATCATCAAATAATTATTATTTCCCTGATTAATCGATAAATTGATGGGTCAATATAACATTGGAAAATAGTGAAAAATGTCCCCTCCAGTTCCCCCAAGTCCAAGGTAAAATCTTAACAGTTCAAGAATTTACTATGATATAAGACAAAGACAAGCAGGACATCCTTACCTTTGAGAAAATTTAAACAATCAGTAGATGCATTTCCTGTTGATCGACTAAATGATTTATCGACTGAGACAAACTCCCTGTTGAGAATTTCCGCTGTACTGGAAAAAAATCTTCTAATGGAGGCATTAGTGTTATGTCAAGACCTGAAATAAAATAACACTTAAATAAAAAAGGAATATTGTCAATTCAGTTCTGCCTGTGGATGTGGTTATGAGACACACGCCTAGCAGGTGTCCTGTGTCAAAGGTCATAACTTTAAAACTTCATGGCTGGTCTGCTTTTTGTATTTTTCATGTTCTGTCATCAAGAATTTGAATTTTTTGTATTTGTATCTTTTCATATAGTTATTCCTCATTTTCCCCATCTTCAGTACTGATTCGAGCAGTGCTAGATGTTTCAGTATAACGTAGTAATGGAAAAAGCTCTCAGAGGAATGTTTGGACAGATGGAAAAACTGTTTTGTCATTTCGTTTTGACTTATGGTTGCTTGGTGTATCTTTGCTGAGTGGTGTTGACTTAAAAAGGAAGCCGTTTTGAAGAAACTATATATGCCTACTCAACTGGTTGTTTATTTAAAGCTTTAAAGATGACAAAGTCATACATTGGCATGGAGTGCAAATATGCTGTTTAGTTTTAGGGCAGTCAGAAGTACGCTGCAGCTCCTGCAGCTGAACGTCTGCCAGGAACTGCACTGACAGAGAAAGAAAATTATTTCCGCATCTTACAATTAGTCCCATCTTGGGATTAATAATGTGGCAAAATCATTGTACTTTACGTCAGCAAAACATATCTATATTTTTCATGTGGATATGTGTGTGTCTACTTTGTTTGACTTCATCACTCATGATTTCTCTAGTTTGAAGCATCTTGTGAGATTGGTCACCAGAAAGGCGTTGGTAAAGGTTAGCATGAGGTAAGTTGGATATGTACATGTTAGGATTTCACACTGCTCCTGTGCGTGGTTTCAAGCATGTCTGGGTAACTATTTTGGCCTGATGGATAAAAGATCTATGACTCTTGACATTCCTCTGCCCCATGACGCCACTCTTACCAGCTGTTACCATGTTGACAACATGTGTTGTTTTGACTTCTGTCTTTGAAACCCCCCTGCAAAACAAGAGCATGAACAGAAAAGCAGCCTGAAGTTTCCGTGACCTTTTATCTTCCACCCTCTTGTCTCCTTCTTTCTGTGATTTGCAGTTTTATCTATGCACCAGAGAACATAGTGATACTGAAGAAGCTCTAACAAAAGACATGATGCTATCTTAAAGTGCATTAAGTTCACAACTATTACTACTTGGTCATTGCTTGATTTGGTGTACAGAAAAATTAAGATTTTGCATGAGCATGGTTAAGCATATAGAGCAGTTACCTTCTCCATCTCGCAAACTTGACAACACGTAGCCCAGGGTATAATTCTGCACTGCTTTCACAGTCTACTCTTGCATGTTTGTTCTTGCTCCAGGTCAGCACTGAGCTCCTTTGAAGAGTCCATGTAACTATAGTTACCATATGCTTGCTATTACCATCCTCTTGCATTGTGAACGTGCTGCAATGTGATAGGAATTTGACTTTGGCTCTCAATTTTTAAGATATGGTCTCACTTATAACTAATAAATATAGGAAACATATAACAAAAAACTCTCATTTGTAGCCTAAATTGCCTTTAAGTAGCCTTTAATAGTGCATAATTTCTTCTAAATCTTTAAGGTATATTAGTAACTAGTTGTAATCCTATTAGCAGAAATTGTTAGTTGGCATGGTGGAATAGTAGTTAAGAGACCAGCTGAAATGTAGGAATAAACCAACATGTCAAACATAACGCAGATATCATTATCACTGATCTGACAAAATCTGACATTTGGCAAAACTTGCATTATGATGTTTGTGAGGGTCTTTTTGATTTCTAAGCCCCAACATAAACCATTGTTTACCAAACAAAAATAATTTTATGGCGTAATTACAGTTCAAATAAATTCACATTCACACACAAAGAAGTTTTGATCTGTTTTGATCTTTCGTGGAATTTACCTTCTCTTGGTGGAATACTGTACAGTATTTGATTGCCATATTGGCTGAGTGGCAGATATTTAATCTCTTGGATACCTAACAGTTTCCATGTGTCCTTTCGGCTCACCTGTTCACAGCGAGGCAGTGGGTGGGGTCATCTTCAAGTTGCTGCCTGCCAGTCCTAGACAAAGACATTAATGCTCAAAAAGTATCTGATATCAGGCCGCTTATACTGTTAGAATGTATCTGTAAGAAATCTGTCTGTATGAAATAATATTTTGTTCATTTAACCAAAATCAGACAGAACTCACAATGCTGTTTCATGGTTTTATTGTACGGAGAAAAGGCACGAATTAGCTGGGTCTGGTTTAGCACTCAATTATGTGATTTGTTCCAGAACTGTGAAACACTATCAAGTCAAGAATGCTGCTTTGGAGCCACAAGGTGGAATGCTTAAGAGCTGCCTCTTCGTTACTTGTGGCTTTAAATATCAATTATGTCTTTTTTCTGTTCTGCTTAGAAAACAACTTGTTTTCCAAAAGCTTTTTGACTTGACTGACTTTCAACTTTGTGCCAAATCTAGAGTGAGTCATTCCACATTATACCTGGATCAACATCACCGGATTATACTAGATTTAACCCACCTAATCATGTGAAATTAATTGCTGGGACAACGTGGGAGGGTAAATCTGTCTCGAGTGTTTCATTTCCCATGAGACCCATTGTTCTCTGTTTTTCTCAAGGGGTACTTTTAGAAAGGGTACCTCTTCATGTTGAAGTTACCTTGAGAATTTTTCCATATATTCAAAACACACCTTAGCAATTAACACTAGAGCACCAACATGACCTGTTTGTAATGATTATGACATATATAGAAGTTCAGATAAAGTACATGTAATGTTTCATCAGTGCAAACCACCAAATGCTATAATTTTACAAAGAATGCTTTTCAATAATCAGGCACCAATTTTCAAAAGACATGCAAACATCCATTTAAAGTTTGACACTTGTCGCTGAAAGTGATAAGTGGATTAGTCGTACCTGAGTGGGTGCTGGTGAGTGAAGCAGCCCAGCTATAGATTGGTAAAGCAGAGGTCCCTGAGTCCTTGCCCTCTTTTTGCTCTCAGAGGTGAAGCTGTCCTCTGGTCCCACGAGCTGTGCCAGCTCTCTGTGCTCTGTGTTACCAGCCCTGATTAACTAATGGCTGACAGATGAGGTTGGCAGGGTAGAAGGAGGAGCACATTGCCATATAGCGACTTTTCTCCCACCGTTAAAATGCAGATATAGTTCAGCTGGGGGAGCATATCCCGTATGGCTGTGATTTCCTTTCTTCCTCCCTTTTTATTTTTTTTCTCTCTCTTTTTTCCTCCTGCTTTTACAGCAATAAGGAGGGGCTAGCCCTCCTCCTCATCCCCCCCACCCGACCCAACATGTTTGCCTGTCTCTGCTCTTGTCTGAGGTAGAGGGAGTTCTGTTATCATTTTTGAATGAGTGTGCAGCGGCTACGTGAATCTGCTACGCTCAGGACTAGTCACTCAGCTTTGGCCTCGGCTTTGATGTTCTCCATCAGCTGAGCCAGCCCTATGTTTAAAATGCCTCTGTAATTACGACGTGTATGATGCATGTGTGTGCAGGGTTAACCACAGCCTGCACCACACTTAGGAAGAAAAGGCTGGAGGTGGCTTTATTTAAGGGTTCAAATGGACACTCAAACCTTTATCAGTAGATTCTTTAACAGGGAAAAATGTCTTTTAGCTCTTAGAAACTTGAGCAAGGAAAGAAAATTAGCAAATTTAGGTTATTTTTTTTCATGGTCCATCATCTGTAGTATGATCAGCAGTATGAGCACACAGGGGAAAAAAATCATGTGTTTGGTGTTATGCAACATTTTGAGATCATAATTAGAGGACAATGCAATATTATGTTTATTATCTGGACTGGAAAATATGCTAAGACAAAATGTATCTCTCCTTGTCTTATGTATTCGATTCCAGCACCCCATTTTTAGAATGGCTTTGTATGGGAGCGCTCACTCGTCAAGCAGAAATAGCAGGCACGCTAATTGCTGTCTGGCCTCACAGGGACTGAAGACTAGAATATTTTCATCTACAATCTCAAGCCTTTTTCAGAGCTTTCATCAGGGTGTCTGGCTTTTATTCATGTTTTTTTTTTCTCCTTCGTCATCGTCTCGCTAGCTTTTCTGAAGTATTTCTTAGTTCCTTATTCATACCAGATGAATGTCTCAACATGCGCATGCATTCGTGTTTCGCTCTGCATCTTTTCTTCCGCTTGGCTCGGCCTCTGCCTTTCACGGCCGCTCTAAAAGTAATTCCTCTGTTTACAGGGTCAACAGTTGGCTGCATTCCATCAATGTGTGAGTGTTTGAAAAAAGGTTTTGGCAAAATCCATTTAAGTTGTTTGGTCAAACGTGTTTGTAGTGCGTTCACCTGGCCATGAAATGGCAACCAGTAAGCTGTTGGATGCACTGAGTGCTCTTGTGATGAGGTCTAAATGCTGTATATGTAGTACTGAGAGAAACATTTTGTTAAACACCAATGTTTACATTGTTGACTCTGTTGATTTCTTTGGGTCTACGTTCTCAACCTTCTATTCACTTAACTCAAATAATTACGCTGAAAAATACTTCACTGTGAAAATACATTACAGCATTATACAACTTTACAGTGTTTATACTTTTGTAATATCTTTTTGATTATGATCACTGTCAGTACAGATTGAGAAATATCCAACAGGACCTTGCTAATATACTCTTTTTTTTCTCATTCTCCACCCTACACCCATCCCCCTTCTTTCCCTTTCCCTCTCTAGTGTTCGGTGAGTTGTGGTCGGGGCACCAAGCAGCGAGAGATAGCCTGTGTTGTTCAGAACCAAACAAAAATAGTGGAGGAGCACTGCAGTCATCTGCCTCGGCCACGGACACAGAAGGCCTGTCGGGTGCGAGGATGCCCCAGTTGGAAGGCCAACAGATGGAGGGAGGTATGTTTGCTCTTCTCGCCATCTCCTCTGACTCACAGAATAGCCCAGGACTCACACGGACCATACTAACGGTAACTGTTGCTAGCAGCTAATACACAAGCACAAACATAGCCGAAGGCTTCCCAGAGGCTGCAGATGTAGGACAATTACACATAGAGCACCTGGCCAATCACCACTCAGTTTATTCTTGTTTACTGTAAAATGTTTACGTAGTGTACTTCACATTTAGATGTCAGGTTTAAAATCAGACAAAATGTTGAAACAATTGTGTAGTGTTATCTATCTAACAGCCTGATGCCAAATGAGTTCTTCTTTAGAAACTTCTTGTCAGACAACACACTGACCTGCATGTCTGAAGATGTTGCATGACACACAAAAGCATGTTCATGCAAAAACACATTCCATTTACTAAATCTATCGAGAATTTTTGGTTGCATTAGACATCCAGTGGAGATCCAGTGTTGCGGCTGATGCAGCTGAGCTTGGCCTCACATAGGGATGAAAGCATGATGTAAAGAATGACGTATGTCCTGAAGCACAGCAGGTTTCTGTACTGTTGTACACTAGTGTCAATTGCAGGGCAAAGGCCGTGCATAGAGGAGTCGCTAGGGGAGTGATGTCACAGTCATTGCGGAGCCCACTACACAGCCGTGATATTTGCTACCATGAGGAGATGCGTGCAGCTGCAACGCAGTTTTCTCAAAGTCACATCGAGCTCCCACAGGGAGGAAAATATTCAGAACCAAATTTATCACAAGTTGCAGAGCAGACTGAAAGGAGGAATGCTCAGTCATGCTCTAACAGATTACCCTATAACTAGGGTAACAACATACTGTGTTCTCAAAAACAATAAAAACAAACAGCTTGCATCGGTTGCCTTTTAAAACTTCAAATTCAGATTTTTTTGATTTTGTCACTTGGGAGCATGGGAAACATCTGCCCAACACTGACATATTTATCGGCTTTTAAGTTGAGATTGCTAAGTGAGAGTGAACCAAAACAATAAGGTTGTGTGCTGGAAAACCAAAACAATGAGTAAAAACATGCCATAAAGCTCTGAAGAGGGGAGGGGAAAAGTCGGATGATGATTATTTGTGGGTTCATCACTATGAGCAACCCCTTTCACATACAGTAGTCATGTGATCCATTCTTAAGATAAAAATATTGATTATAGCTGCTTTGTGTATTTATTTTCTTGTACCACACATTTTCTGTCACCCCTGCGATGAACAATGTTCTCAAAAATCGTTCCAGCTCCTCTTTGAAAATCTAACATACCTCCTCATTTCCAAGTGACCGTTAAATCCCCAAATGTCCATAAAGACCCATGCCTGCCTCCCACCACTCCCCACTCTTTGAGGGTGTCCTCCTCCCCCCTCTCACTCTCTCTCGCTGGTGTCTGGAAGCAATCATCTTCCTCCACATACCACTAGCAACCATGAAATCCTCAACTAGAGCATAAAGACATGTTTTATATCTTAATATCCATGCATGTGACAACTTTGAAACCTCAGCACCCACTGTTTGAGTTATTCCACAGCTACCCGGCCCTCTCAGTCACCTCTGACTGGTGTAATGGGCAACATGTAGGAATTTTACTCTTTTCACTGGTTCTTTGTAATGCTGTGCACCTACATTTTCAGTGTAATATTTTAAACTGCTGTTAGAGAGTTGGTTCATTGAAATTTAAGTAAAATATATTTTCTCATTTTAGAAGTTTAGATTTGGTTTCATTTGCATGTTTTTAATCAGATATCCATATCTGAAATGTCTGCATCCAGCCTAATACAATGGAGCTGTTTGTAGGGCATGCAGCATTGAAAATACACCCCATAATTCACCAGCAAAAGCTGTTTCCAGAAACAGTGTTCCTGTTTCACTGGATAATCCTCAGATCAGTCTGTCAACAGTTTTTATGGGGACTATATCTTCGGTACAAAGAAAACAGTTTATTGTGTGTTTTGTGGGTGATCCAGAATACAAGGGACAGGACAGTGTTTTTGAAAAAACATGTTGTATTTGTTGGAGTTGTCAAATTTCATCTTTGAGCAGCACAGATAAATTCAATTACTTTAATTCAATTACATCCATTGTATTGAGGTGGCAGCAGAAATCTAAAAGGTGGATGCCTCACTAACTGGGTGAAACCAAAGAACTGACCCTGAAGTCTGGCAAGGCTCTGATAAAAGCACTACACGTCTTTTGCAGGAGTATAGAATCAGGTTTATTGTAGCTGTAGCAGTTAACAGTGACTATAACCACTTTAATGGCTGGCTCTATTTTCATTCTTTGTAAGATAAAAAGAAAAAAAACTTTTTTTGATTTGAAGGTCAGATTTCCTATGGTGCTTTTTGTTCTCTTTCCAAACTCAAGGACTTGACCCTTCACATTCAACCACACACTCTGCATTGATAACTCACAACTGCAGAGAGAAACGATCAACACAAATACATGTGTATTTGTCTGTATCTGTGTGAAATCGCTGAGGCCTGACCCTGTTCTTTGAGGTCTGTAGGAGAGTTAAAGAGAAATCAGGCTGATCAGCTCGAGCCTTAGTGCCTTCTCAGTATGCAGGTATGTTTCTCAAAGCACATAAAAGAGATGTTTGAGATAGAACCTTGTGTGACCCCAGATATACGTTTCACAAAGAAACGACAAACTGGCTTTGGGTTTATTAAGTACAGTGTTGGGGAGCATCAAAGCAGCAACTCTGACACTGCACACCAAATTAACATTTTAAAACATTGTCATATTAAAGTGAGTCTGTAAAAGTAAAAGAATAAATAACACAATCCTTCTCTTGCAGTTGGCAACTTGAGTTCGTGAGCAATAAAACACACCCTTACTTCATTAAATACACTCACAGCCCTTCTTTGTGCGTTATGACTAGTAGCCTATGGTGGCACATAAACAGTAACCAATATTATTGAGTCAATTCACTGACTTCATTACCTGACTTCTTGTGGCATAATGTTTCAGCGTATCACCAATAAACATTTCAAAGATTCACCAGAAGACATGTTTGTTGTTTTCTGCATGCTGTCTCATTTCCCCATGAATATACAGAGAGAGCTTATACCAGATGTGTTAAGATGTCGCCCATTCATTGCAATAAATGTTGCTCAACCATAGAATATGACAAAAACATTTTCCCTCTTGGTTTGCTTCCACATTGTGCAGTCCAGCTGAAATTGATTGATTCATGTCTCTTTCCCTGAGCCCTTAAAACCGTGTCATAGACTTTACATTGAGAAGACAACTAACTATAGCTTTACTAGCCTTAAGGAAAGTTTAGGAAAATTTAAACCATCATGGGATAGAAATTTCAAATACAAAAAAGTCATATTTGAACTTGTTAGCTGTTCAAGGCGCTCTGCGTTCCACTCTCTCTGCCAGGTCCTCTAATACTGATGTCTTAAAAGAAACTGATTCAAGAGAATCTTGGGAAATGAAGGGGAATTCAACGTGCAAAGTCTCACTTTAAAGAGTACTCCAGTGTTTAGTATTGCACTTCCATAAACGTGGGAACTCAAAATGGTCTGATAAATGACTGATGATGTCACCAGGGTTAATTGTTCAATCTTCGGAACACTCCCTCCAAAGCCACAAAAGACATTCTACAACTGTTTGCACAGGCGGAGTAGCCTCCTCCTAACAAGGAAACTGGACTTGTGAAAAATCAGTGGAGTGCTCCTTTTTAGATCAGCTCTAGTGAAGCTGGAGTGGCATGAAAATATTATTATTATTACTGGCAATATATTCTTCAGTATGAAAAACACAAGAACACATGTTTTTGCCATAAATTAAGTTTCCATTTTCTGCCCTTTTCTCAATCAGATGTGTGTTCTGTGTCTGTTTTACTAGTGTTCTGTCACCTGTGGAGCTGGAGCTCAGAACCGTGAGGTTTACTGCAGACTAAAAGGCACTGGACGTGTCAGACAGGATCTATGTGATGCTCACCAGCGTCCTGCCATGGTCCGGCCATGCCAAACTGCAGAATGCACACATTACACTTGGGTTGCTGGCGAGTGGGAAGAAGTAAGTACAGACTCATTCTTTCGCTCTCTTCCTACGTACACCCCCACCCCCACCACTCTCAGTCTCCCATGAGAAAGATGAACAGATGGTTTACAATCTTATTAAGGTTTTTATTGGCTGAGATCTCTGCTCTTCCTCTCTTTCTCTGCACCATTAAATGGACGACCTGCAGGTACCCTTGCACTCTTGTCAATCGTGAGGGCTTTGGTGATTACCATCAGTCAGTAAATTATAACAAACTTTGAAGTACCGATGGCCATCATCCGTTTTGTCCTGCTGAATATCACTGTTCCGTGTCACGCTAGCGGACTGTTTTTTTTCTTTGCTCATCTTTCTTTAATGTCCCGCTCATTGTCCTCAAAAGTGAGGCATAAAAGAGGGGCACCATGTAGGGACAATGCGCTGTATCCTCCTGCTGCAGGAATGTTTGCAGTGTTCAGATTCCTGGCTGTGTTGCCTCGAGAACTTACAGCCTCATTTCTTTCACAGTTTGGCCTTGAAACCTTTTCTGTTCTCATGAAAAACAAAAACAACAAATATTGTCATAAAATCCACACACAGCAGACTTTTTTACACAAATTAATTTTAAGATTCTGGTTCATATCATTACTTTTAAATGATCCTATAAACCATTACTGGGTCTGAGGGAAACCAGCTTAACCTTTTTAATCTTTTATGGTAAATTATCTGCCAGAGCACATGTTTGAATTGTATTTCTTGAGATCTAATGTTGCCACACAGCACTCAATTTTCTCTACTTTACCTGTACATAATAAGGAGGCAAGCATGAGTCTGCGACGTCAGTGATGTTGTTGCTGAAAGTACAACACTGCCCCCCCTCTGCCAACTCTTCTTCACTCTTACGGATTTCTTCCCATGTTACATTTTCCTTGTAGTGCAATGCAACCTGTGGAGAGGGCATGAGACTCCGGAAGGTGGGGTGCATAAACCCCGGGATGACACCTGTCCAGGATGATTACTGTGAGCCGTCATCCCAGCCACCATCATACCAACCTTGCAAAGGAGCTCCCTGCCACTACATGTGGATTACAGGCGAATGGTCACAGGTAGGAATAGGAAGAAATAAAGACTGAGCTTTGTTTTACTGTAAGAATACAACAGTTCAAAACCCCAAAACATAAAATGTAAAAGTATGTTAAACAAAGAATCAGAATCAGCTTTGTTTGCCAGGTATGTGTTCATGATGTGCTTACTCATACAATGATACAATAACACAATCATAAAATCAGACACAGGCTACAGTATAGAGAACACAAATATATACACTATAACAAGAACAAAACAATATAGACAGACTGACAATAGTGCAGTGAGCAGGGTGCAAACGATGTAGGAGTAAAATTATTATCATTATGTACATATCGGAGGTGGATGTGATATACAGAAAAGTAACAAATCCTCACATTGATAAATTTGAAGAAGATTTTTTCTAATAAACTTGAAGAATTAAGTGTTACTTTTTAAGTAGAGAAAATTCTCCAACTTTTTAATCTAAATTAGCAAAAAAAAAATACAACATTGCGAAGCTGAAAACAGGGCTGTTTTTCTCGTGAAAAGACATTTTGGAGAAATGTGTTTTAAAGGACAGTGATAAGAATTTTTGTTACATACATACATTTTCTCAAAGTTTGTCATCTAACTACCACTAATTTACTTAATCAACTTGTCATTTCAGCACAGCTACAATGTATATTTCAATAGAAATTGGCTTAATAAAGGGAAGGTGTGGTCAATGAGTCAGACAGTAGATTCTCATTAATAGAACATTAGCCACTTCTGTATTTGATATTACTGCTCTGAGCAAACATTTAGTCATGCCAGTATTTGTAACTATCAGTGTATGTGTATCTGTGTGTGGCTCAGTGCTCTGCCAGCTGCGGTGTGGGCTATCAGCAGCGTATAGTCTCCTGCTCCGTGACGCCCTCCTCTCAGGCTCTGAGCCCATATGCTGCTGCCCAGTCCTTCTCTGCCAGCACCCACTGCCCTGAGCCCCACCCTCCTGGCACCCGGCCGTGCCTCCTCAGGCACTGCCCGCACACAACCTACTGGAAAGTTGGCCCATGGAGCAAGGTGAAACAGAAAAGGCTTGTTAGGCTTTGAGAAATCCTCTCTAGCTAATCACCATTTTCACAAAACATTTTGATGACTCGTGCATTTTACGGTTCTGCTGATAAATCTCATTTGTGGATTTGGATCTGGTTGCAGCTTATTTGTTAATTGTTGTGTGTAGCTGTGTAGTTGACTGCCATTGTGTGTGTTTGTTTGTACACCAGTGCTCACAGACCTGCGGGGCAGGAGTGATGGAGCGCAGAGTGGAGTGTGTGACCTCCAAAGGCCAACCGTCCAAACACTGCCGTCCTTCAGAAAGACCTGAGTCTCAAGCTGCATGTCAAGACAGAGAATGTAAGTCAAACTCCTTCTCTTCTCTTCTCTTCTCTTCTCTTAGTTCCAATATCCAGAGGTGTTTGGCTGTAAAGTACATATCTCAAAAAGCCTACCACCTTGTGCAACTCATCTGATCCATGTAGTGCTTATTGCCAACCAGGAATGTGTAGAGTGATGGTATTAAATTGACTGTGCTGTATATGTAGCCAACACCGTATCTGATTGTGTTTATAGAAGCTCAACTTTTTGCTTTGGTTTAACACATTAGGCAGAACAGCGACCTCCCCTTAGAGTGATTACTTTGTGGAACAATAAATAGACAATCAGCAGTTTTCCACAAATTATGAAATGGACAGTCTGTCAGAACGCCTCAGGGGTGTCTGCTGGGGCTGTGGCAGCCATTATTGTGAACTTGCAGGCGCTGTAAAATTCGGCTGCGAGCCAAAGTTTGTAGGTTCGCTCCTCCACATTTCAGATGTTTCAGTACTGGCGCATTGCGCTGTTCATTCCCAACTTCTGCCAAGTCAGGCACTGCCGAAATTAAAATGACATGCTCGGGTGACAGCCAGTTCTGTGGTGAAGTATTAATGCTAATCTGCTAATCAGCTAATCAGCGTCATATGAGCCCTGCAGCGCTCTGGGAAAACAGGGGAGACAACACAAATAATGAGACATTTACAACAGCTCTCATTTAAGAAGACTAGAGCCAGGTTTCAACCCTTTTAATTTATTAGCTTTTGTAATGTTTCTGGCATTTGCTGATGGCAGATTTACTGTATTAACTGGCTTACACAAGTAGAGTGACTAAAGATCATGGCTTTCAAAGGTGGTGGCAGGCATCAGTGTCAGAGTTTCCTTGCTGGTGCACTAAAACATCTCCTTCCCCCCGTTGACATTTCTTCTCCCAGGTCGGTTGTTCACGTCCTGCCGAGAGGTCCAGATGACACAGGGTGTGAAGACAGATGGGGAATACTATCTCAAAGTCAAATCCCGGATACTACAGGTGTGTTTGTCCTGTCAGAATTGCTTCCACACACATCATGACTCAACCTGCAGCTTCCCTACAGGCTTTAATCTGTTTTCTCAATGTGTTTGGCCTCAGATTTACTGTGCTGAGATGCACACTGATTTCCCCAAGGAGTATTTGACCTTGCGCAGCGGTCAGACAGACAACTACTCAGAAGTGTATGGGCACAGGTGTGAATAACATCATGTGTATTAAAGACAGTGTTTTCAACGATTGTTAAGATTCCTGTGTTTGTCTTAAATAAATCCTAATACTCATTGTTCTTAACACAAAGGTTGCTGAACCCCTTTGAATGTCCGTATAATGGCAGCCGAAGACAGGACTGTGACTGTAGGAACGACTACTCCGCAGCAGGATACACACTCTTCCACAAAGTTCGTCTGGACCTGAGCTCCCTGAGGATAACGAGTGTGTAATTACTGTGCAATTGCCTTACACTATCTGCAGTAATGAGACCACACATTAGTGTTGTTTTAACCCTCAGACGTCTGTCCCGTAGTGTTTAATACTGCCTTGTCCAAAAAGCCCAGGCTGTCCGACTGATGTGTTTCTTTCCCCACACACTCTCCTCTGAAATCAAAATAATGACCTTTCAGCACTCCGTGTTCACATCACTAGGCGAGGACTTGAAACCGTGACTCTCAGCGCAATAAAGGAATGCGTGCGTGCACGTGCAGACGCGCGTGCCTGCTCGCAAGCGCAGACAGACAATCTGTGACCTGGAGACACAAGCGCGCACACCCATGCGTACAGCCGCATCAATATCAAACACTTACTCATACACGCATGCGAGCAATCACATTCACAGACATACATACACTAATACACACACACACATCTTCAGGCCATATTCCTCCGCTCATTATTAGAGTCAGCTCCACCTTCCCTGTTGTGTCCAAGTGTGCCTTTGATTAGAGTATGTATGTGTACAGTGTGTGTGTGTGTGTGTGTGTACAGTGTGTGTGTGTGTGTGTGTGTGTGTGTGCGCGTGCGTGCGTGCTGAGGGGTAGTTGGATTACGCAGACATCCTCCCATCCTTTTCATCTGGTCTGGGCCATGACAGCACATGTTCCTACCCCTCTGCATGGTACTAATTTGGCTTTTAGGCGGCTTCAGGAGGGCTGAGGGGGGGATAATGAGTTCAAGATGAAGGGAAGCATCCCATGAACTTTATCATCAGTTTATACAGGCAAAGTGAAGGGGGGGCAGGAAAAGGTACTGGTCATGGTCATCATGTGTGACAATGCAGGGTAAATGGGAATGAACAGGAGAGTCAGGGAAGCAAGGTACAGTCACTGACTTCAACAAGTATTTGATTTACACCAGGATACTCACAAATCTATTGTAATTGGGGTGGTAAACTGTATGTACGGGTGGTTCCACTTTGGTAAAATCCCAGGATTCATAAGCTCCAAGTAAAATAAATCTCTTATCAAATCTTGTATGTTCTCTTTTTGTAAGAACAATGAAAGTCATTCTTTGATTGTAACCCTTAGAATTTTAAGATATTCATAACTTTTTTAGGTAAATAATTAAATCAATTTGATTGGGGATTTTAAAGGTTTGAGAAGAACTTGCATGAACTTTTTTTGTTGAAATGTCTTTTAGAAATCGTAAAAAACAGCTGGTGACATTGAAGTAACCCTACAATGAAATGTAATTGCACAAACTGTAGTTGACGATGCTCTGTGTGGTTATTTGCCTTAGAGCAGCTGTCTTCAGTCTATGTTTACTTCTGCTGTTACACATTGTGACTTTAGATTGGTATCTTTGCTGTTTACCAGTAACAGACCTCCAGTTTTCCCAGACTCTTCTTGGTCGACCTGTGCCTTTTGCTACAGCGGGAGATTGTTATAGTGCAGCCAAGTGTCCACAGGTTGGTGAAATACTGTACTGTACAAGTCAGACTATTGCTCCATACTCAAGTGCTCACCACATTGTAGTATAAGCCCCTCCTTCTGCGGTTATTGCCACAGACCTTTTCTACAAATATGAATGAGCTTGACCTTCCTGGTTAAATAACTGCCCAGAAATGACTTAATCTGATGTATGTTTTCAGGGCCAGTTCAGTATTAATCTGATTGGCACTGGCCTCAAAGTGGCTGAGGCAACCAAGTGGACATCTCAAGGCAACTATGTTTCTGTCAAAGTCCACAGATCTGAGGTAAGAAAAAAACAGTAGATTTATAAAACGGTTATCTTTTGTTTGACCAATGTGATTTGGTTCCTAAGGAATGTATGTTGTAAATGTATAGATGTCAATTTGCTGGGATGTAATTGTGCTTCATGTTGGGTCTTGACTCTTATTGTTGACTTGTCTGTGTTGAGTATTTGAAGGAGTTTGTTGCTCTGAAATGTCATCTGAATTCCCATGTTGTGTTTCTGTCTGATTCACTGAAGAGGAATCCCTAGTGACATTTATGAAGCTTTCATTCTCTGCGTAAAAAGCTGCCCTTTGCCCACTCTTTCCTCTTTCTCATTGGTCTTTGGTCTGTAGGACGGAACAAGAATCTACGGTCGCTGTGGTGGTTTCTGTGGGAAGTGCATTCCCCAAGCTCACAACGGCCTACTCCTTCAAGTCCACTGAGGGCCATGTAGAGACCAAACCTTTAAATCTATCCTGAAGACAGTAGCCCAGGAATATGCAATAATAATGATTTGTTGGACACCGTAGTCATCTGTGAGTGTGGTGGAGGAGCATTTCACAGTAATCATCCAACAGTAACATCCCCAGTTCCCAAATGGCAGCTAAAACATACATGACACTACATACGCAGTGCTACAGGGCCGCTGTCAGGTCCAAACTGCTAACTTAAGAAGAGACAGCTATATTAGCTTGCCAACAGTGTTGTAATGGCATGTCTTTGCTTTGGAACCTGAAATGCTTTTTCTCTGACCCTGTTATGCATTCTCAGCATCATACAAAGGGATACAATACTTCAAAGTACTTCAAAGCAACTACATAAACAGTAGAAAAAAATCTTCAAATTCTCATCTTTGAAACACAACGTTTTCTAATGGTGCTCTGTGAAGTGAAGGGTATTCTGAATTTTCTGGGGGGGGGGGATCCATAATTTAAAGTACTTGGAACTATTCTTGTTATATGTCACCTTCCACAGTACATATATATTTATATTTAAAGCTCCGCTTTTCTGACTGACTTGCAGTCAATGAGACTGTATAATAGTCAATATACTGTATGTATGTAATCATCAATGCAATTCTCTGGTGACAAAGAAGTGCTATAGACAGACATTGAAATAGTATGTTGAGTATGTTAATGTTTTATAGTATGGCAGCCATTAGCATGATATCAAAAAGAAGTAATAACAACACTAAAAAAGTATTATTTTTGCAACTACTAAATGAGTAAGGGAATGGTTTGATATTTATGCTTATTTCTTGTTGAGAGTCAGATGAGTAGGTCGAGTAAATATGAAGCTACCACCAGCAACTGGTTAGCTTAGCTTAGCACAAAGACTAAAAACAGGGGAAACGGCTTGCCTGGCTTTGTCTGATGGTAGCAAAATTCACCTACAAGCAGCTCTAAAGCTCCCTAATTAACATGTTGTACCCCATTTGTTTAATCTGCACAAAAAAGTATAAAACAAACAAACATGGTTTTATGGGAGCTAGGTGTGAGACTATTTTTCTGTACGGGCGCAGTAACTTCCTGGCGTCTTGACATCACTTGTGAGGCTAACAGTGGAGACTCCAGGAAATGACTGCAACATTAGTCTGGCATCTTTATCTCTGGACAGAGCCAGACTACCTGGCTGCTGGCTGACTATCATCATATTTATCATACAGACATGAAAGTGGTATCAATCTTCTCATCTGACACTACAAGAAAGTGAATAATTGTATTTCCCAAAATGTCAAACTATTCCTTTGGGGCTCAAGACTTATAGAAAGAGTAAGCTAGCAACTAACTACTGATATCCTTCCAGACCTGCCTTATGTCAGAGGTCAAATGTTAGGAGAATGTGAGGAGCCTTTAGAACAACGACACACAAGATTTTAGTTTTCATCGCTGTGTATTTCTAAAGTCTGTCTGCTCTCACCTGCTGCCAGGTATTTCACAAAACTGCTCAAACCTGCATAGATAGTACACTGACTGACGTAGAGACATAATAAACAATAGCGCTGTGAGGAAATAGCAGAAATGTTTCAATGTTTCCTAGTGTTTCAGTACAGTTTAAACGTTTTCTGCAGCTTTTTTTAAACCATGAGGATTCATTTATTTAAAAATTTTTATAGGTATTTAATTACACCACACAGACAAGTTCTCATCTGTTACACTGTGACACAGTATCAGGTGATTTCTCACCTCACACCCTCCATTGGGCCTACTGTAGGTACCTGCAACCCCTACCTCTCACAACCATCCATACTCTACTGAGATATGTGTTGTAATATATTTATGTTTGACCATATTTATTCTGTAATGACTGTAGAAATGTTCTGTGTTTTACAGTACTACTACCAATGGATAAGCCATTGTCTGATGTTTTTTGTCCTTTGTCTGCTTTGCTGAAAAAGGTATTAGCCTACTATTATTTGTAGTGTATAACCACTAACCTTAAATGAGGATCTTTTGAATGGTGCTTTTGAACTACTGGAATTACCTCTCTTGAGAAGGAAAACACTGGCTTTTGGCTCTTTAGCAAATCTAGGATCTGCTTATAATGCACGTAATGGTCCTCTCAATAATGTAGCCGAAAATCTAGCTGCAAGGTTGCCAGATCTATCAGATATGTAAGCGATAAAACACTGCATGAGGAAATCTGCCCTTGAGTAGTACTTAACTCATCATAAATTACATTGGCCATGATGCAACTATCAAGCAGCCTAACATGCTGGTACTCTTGTTAAGCTTTAACCAAAGTTAGAATATAGATGCAGCTTTTTTTTTCTTCTCAGACAACGCAGCTTCTTTTGATTTAAAGAACGGCTGAAAAATAAATATAAAAAACATCAATGAGCAGCTAGAAAATATTTGGCCATCATTCATGTTTATGATGGTCAATTGTTCTATGAGGTCTGTATCAGAAAGTTAAAGAATACTTGATGCACTATGTGCCATACATTTTGTAGAAATGTAATCCTGTTTGGGGTTTTTTGTAATAACCGTTAAGATTTGTAACTTATGATATATGTGTATTTTTAATATTCATACTTGAATTGTAAACAGTGTGCTAAATATTGAATGGGCATTGGTACTGAATAGAGAATCAGTGTGCTTGTTTGCCATGCTTTATCCAAAGAAGTTTTTAAGAATCATATGTACCTATAGTATGTATGTAGCCTGTATGAGAAATGAATGATTGATTCTGGTGCTACGATAACTAATCAAACCAATACTGTATGTCTTGCTACTATACTAACACTGTAAAGTCATAATAATAAATGGTTTTCAGCTGACTCATAAGTTGATTCATGTTTTTTTTATTTGCATAATACATTTACCAAAACATGTTATTAACATTTTTAAATCCCCAGAGGATGAATCATAATCAGAAATCAGAAATACTTTATTGATCCCTGAGGGGAAATTCTTGATTCAGACTTTGGTGATGCAATGATTTTTCCTCTTGCGCCAGCATGAGGTTGACATTTTAGTATTTTGTGAAATCTCTTAACTTCTGGCTGGATTGCATTTAAATTTGGTATAAAAACTGTTCCCCCATCAGGGTAATTTATTAACACTTTGGTGACCGACTTTTAATTTGTCCCATACTTAAGTCTCAGATCTATTGTGTTTTACACTAATTAGCGAATGTTAGCATTTAACATGCTAACTAAGATGGTAAACATTAAACCTGCTAAATAAACATCAGCGTGTTTGCATTTTCATTTTGAGCGTGTTAGCATGCTGTTGTTAGCGTTAAGCTCTAATCACCGCTTTGTCTAAGTACTCCCTTACAGAACCGCTAGTATAGCTGTAGACTTAGTCTTGTCCAAATTAAAGATCCCCTCAAGACATGTTTTAAAAATTATTTGCTTTGAATTTATAATTTGTGGCTGATATATTTTTTCATATATTTTTAATTTCCTTAAAAATTCTTAAAATGACATCTCCTCCTCTTCTCTCATTTAAAAACAAAATCCAGAATCTATGAACATGCAAATATTGTTTTTTTCAAAAATTTAACTACTTGTATACAAGATTTCTCCTACTTCACAGAAAAGACCATTCTCACTGTCTCACTGGAGGCTTCAAGTCTCCACATCACACTTGTTTATGATGCATATTGGACCACATCTGGCTTCCAAACTAGCTGTGATGTCATAAAATCATACTTGTACGTATAAGTCTTAAACTATAAGCATACTCTTAGGACAACCACCAAGAAAGTTTCTCCCTTCAACAGATGAAAAAAGTAGCCTTCTAGTGTCAAAGTCAGCATACATATTTCTGCCCAGTCAAGTTCAAACATCCAAGTTACAGAACAAAAAGGAGGGGGACATATTACACAAGAGACAAGTCTTACTCAAGTCTTTGTTATCGCCAGGTTTCTCTGCACTACAGGGAGGCCAATTGGTTAATAAAGAAGGGCAGCAGGTCAGCGCTGGCTGGGTGCTTGTGAATGCCAGATTGTGGCTTCATGTGGATTCACTTAGTGTTGCAGGTTGCATTTCCACAACAAGACTTTCTAGAGTTCAGCTTCACTTAAGAGACACATAAACAGAGCAAATATCTTTAAGTCCATTTCTCACTGAAGTGCACATGTCCTTGAGTCCTGGAAACAGCTAAAGCTGTCAACTGTCTGATGACTCATCAAATTGTTAAGTCAAATCAAAGAATAAGCTACGTTCCCTATAAGCTTTGAAAAGAGGAATTATGTCAGAAAAATGAGTCAGTAATAAAGGTGCAGGTACTTCAGCAAAAGGCAAACTGTTTATGTACAAGCCGCTTTCCTAGGGCTCATTGCACAGAGATGGCTTTGCACATTAAATGAAAACAGATACTGTGGTCCCTCAAGAACTGCTTTGATTTATTGCCAGAAGCCTGCCTTGGTTCCTAAAAGCTAATCTAAGGATTTGGAAGAGTCCTGGAGTACGACAACAACTCCCCTCAAAAGCAGTTTTCCACTGAAACCAAGCTGTGTTGAGGCTCTTTCAGACTCTCCAGGCTATGCACACGTTAGGAAAAAGCTTCCCTGGCCTGCTTGCTTTGAGCATAAACCAGACATGTTTAATGACGGAGCCACAAAAATACAAACCTGCACCGAGAATCCTCATAAAAGACGCTAATGATTGATGTTTACCATGAGGCACAGTCTGCTTTGAGGTAAAAGCATAGACTTTCTAGTGCAAGATGCAGCTGCCACCTGCTCTAAAGACCATGTATCCAGAAACCACCATTCAACTGGTTTGCACTGACACACCAAGGTGACACAGTGAATCTCTCAGGCAAATAACTGTGGCCTTACATTTTATGAAATGTTTAAGTTTAATGTGTTTTTTCAAAATTTAACTGAACTACATTCAGACATCTGTGTTTTAAAGGTACAATAAGAAGTACTTCTGAAACAAAAGTCAACCTGCCCCTTAAACAGGTATATAAGGTTAACTGATCTGCACATGTCATAACACACCATTACATTTAAGTAACATTTCTGGTTAATTATATTCTAAAATGTATCCAACTAGTCACCCAAAGGAGACATTTATTTTCTTAAACTGAGCAAACAGTGACCCCTATTGTATCAAACAAGCTCTTACATCCCCTGTCCCTGTTGGAGATGTTATGGTATGCTATCTGTGTGATTCATAAGAGCAAAACTGACAATGTGAAATGTCCACAGAAAGCTAGCATATACTTGATAAAATTACAATATACTGCAAGATTATTATTAGTATTTATTGCTGCACTTACTACTTTCACTTGTAGATCTCTTACTATATTGGTGCTTGTATGTTGTTCCTCAAATGTAAGTCGCTTTGGATAAGAGCGCCTGCCAAATTAGTAAATTTAATAATGAAGTGTAAATGTGATGAACGTTTTGAGAAATTGAGAAATTTAGAATGTCATGGAAAAGTAAATTTTTTCCTGTAATTTAAGTCAAAAGGCTAAACTGTCATATATTCTAGATTCATTATACATAAAGTGAAATATTTCAGGCCTTTTTTGTTTATATCGTGATGATTACTGCTTGCAGCGCATGGAAATCATAAATCCATATCTAAAAATATTAGAATATTAGAATAAAGAATATATAATACAGAAATGTTGGCCTTCTGAAAAGTTGAAAAGTTCTGAAAAAGGTTCATTTATACACTCAGTACTTAATCGGCGCTCCTTTTTCATGAACTACTGCATCAGTGTGGCGTGGCATGGAGGCAATCGGCCTGTGGCACTGCTGAGGTGTTAAGGAAGCCCAGGTCACTTGAGTTGACTGGCCAATCATTGCTAAGTAAGTGTGGCACTGTGGGCAGGTGCCAAGTGCTGCAGGAAAAGGAAATCAGTATCTCCATGAATCTTGTCATCAGATTGACTGGAGCCAACACAGTGGACCAACACCAGCAGATGACATTGCACCCCAAATCATCACTGACTGTGGAACCTTCACACTGGACTTCAAGCACATAGGATTCGGTGCCTCTCCACTCGTCCTCCAGACTCTGGGACTTTGATTTCCAAATTAAATGCAACATATACTTTAATCTGAAAAGAGGACTTTAGACCACTGAGCAATGGTCCAGTTCTGTTTCTCCTTAGCCCAAGGCTGCGGTCATCACTGTTGCTTGTGCACCTACCACACTTCCAGTCAACTTTCCATGAATATGCTTTGATAAAGCACTCTGCGAACAGCCAGCTCTTTGAGCAATGACCTTCTGTGGCTTACCCTTGTGGAGGGTGTCAATGAGTGTCTTCTGGTCAACTGTCAAGTCAGAAGTCTTCCCCATGACTGTGGCTGTGTGTGCTGAACCAGATGGAGAGATTAAAGGCTCTTCTCAGGAAGATATTTCTGTATTATGCATTCTTTATTCTAATATTCTAATATTTTGATATTTTTGATTTCCATGAGCTGTAATCCCTAATCATCAAGATTAAAAAAGGTCTTAAATCTTTCACTTCATGTGTAATGAATGTAGAATATATGAAACTTTCACTTTTTGACTTGAGTTACCGAAAAATAACTTTTCCATGACATTCTAATTTTCTGAGATGCACCTGTATATGGTTTTCTGTAAACATTGTAATGCATCTTTGCTGCTGGCCAGTAGATGGTAGTAGAGCCTCAGACAACCACTGGCTGGCTAACCATGGTGTTCTGTAGAGGCTCATGCAACATCAACTGTGACCAAAGACACAGGCCATTTAATGCTTGTGTTTAGGATGATAAGTGATTGGTTGAAGTGGTTTGATGATGATTGTGATTTGGGTACTAGTAATATGTGGTAGATTTTTCGCGTTTTTATACTCTGGCCTTCTCTGTATCTTCCCCACAGGGCTTTATGCTTTTTCACAGTGAAAGTTGTTGCAGTAGGATAAGGTTGTTTAAGCAAGCTCAATTCCTTGTATACCTCACACATACAAACATCTTCAACTCACTCCCACCCCTCACTAACATGCTGACACACATCCATCCATCCTATAGTGGATATAGTGAGTTTCATCCCTTGATGCACCATGTCTTCTTCAGAATCCATGAAAACCACACATGATTAAACATCTCCCATGCCAACTGGGCTATCAGTAGTTTGGGGGTGCAAGCTGTTGGCACTTTTCCTCACAGGCATAATAGACTATACTGTCAGTCTGGCTGCATGCACTTTTGAAGGAAATCATGTCAGTTTTGACTTTAACTAGCTGAGACTGAATGAGGTCATTTTTAAGTATTGTGTTACATGTCTAGAATGTCCATTTTGTAACAGCTGCATGTGATGTGTGGCAGACTGCAGCCTTAGTCCAACGCTGACCACCTATTCACTGCGCATGGCCGGGTGGTATGCAATCAGAGACAGGCATGGTCCAACTGGAGAAGGTATGAAGGGGGTGGGTGGTTGGTGTTGGGCCCCTGGGGTCTGCATGTATGTGCCAACAGCCCATATGCACATGTGTTCTAGTGAAAAATCAACTTGCATTGTTTGATCCATGAATGTGAGACTCTGGTGTGAATCACACATTAAAGCGGTGTAGCGAAGATATTCACTAAAGGATTTTCATATCTGCTCAGCAGCAATAAGGCAAGATATCTTTTCACAAGTCATATTTTGTAGCCATTTTTGAGGTTAAAGTACTACTGTTGCACGGACAGAGCTGTAATTCTCACAGTGAACAAAGGAAAACAGTCATAAAAGCCTGAAGACAGTCATTAAGGAAATGCGTACATTATGACCAGTGGCAGTATTTTTGTTGCGGAAAATACTTTCCAATTGTAAAACATTAGGCTAGATAAGCAGCCTGGAACATGTTGCTCA